TTTTACCGCTCGGCCACGAAGAACGTTCACAGCAAGCAAGGTTATATTTTCCCTTTTTAAGAAAATCCCATACTTTTCTTTCAGATTTTTTTTCTTGAAAGCTTCATATCTTCTCAGTTTCATATCCAAAACGTAAACTAAGCATTTTCAAAAGAATTAATGGATTTAGTTTTAATCCGACATCTTTATTACTTTCAACATTATTAAAAATGAGGCGTTTGTTTCAAATACGAAGTATCCAATATATTACATTATAAAGTTAAGTTAGGTACTGGAAGTCTGTAGAATCTGGAAAAAAAAATAAGATGACTAAATACTGCAACTTTTTATATAAAACTTCACTACTTAAATTTAATAAGTATTTAGGTAGATTTTTTAGGTAGATTTTTTAGGTAGATTTTCATCCCAAGCAAGGCGATAATGCCGCTAAGATACCAGGCGTTACTGAGGGTGAAAGATAATTAGAAGACTTTAGTGAGGGACAAAACAACAGAACTTAAGAAGACAGAAGATGGCAATTGACGTTGCATTTAAATTTTTGAAGATTGTAGGTGGCCGGAAAGCAAGAAATCGGAAGAGAGTTCCACAGGCGAGAAGTGCGAGAAAAGAAATTATTATTATTATTATTATTATGGAACTTACGGCTAGCCATATTGTTTATCTGAAAGAAAGCCATGTGAAGTGAGATACTTAACTAATTCGGATTTCATTAGAGTCTCTAGTACATTGCCAAAAAAATTGTAAAACATTAATAGGGCGATAATTTGATGGATAAGAAGGTTCACCAGAATTCTTAAAGAAAGGAACTACAGAAGAGGATTTCCCACAAGGTGAAAAACAAGAAGCAACAAGGGATTTGTCTAAGAGTTTGAGGAGAACGGGCGCCAATTCAGGAACACACTTCTTTAGATAAGGGTAAACAATATTGTCTTAAGAAAAGATATTTTTCAATGAACAATGGATTTTTGCAAGAATCGTTTTCAATTTTTTAACATTTTAATTATAATAATTTATAAATCATTAAATTATTTAAAATTTACGCATTAATTTGTGTCTGTCAAATGATATTGTTATTAAATTATAGCTGTATTTACTCGTTATAAATAGAAACGCTTACTACAATCCAACTATTCCCAGCACTTACAAAAATAATGAATATTTTTAATGTGTATAAACGTCTTAAAATTTTGTAAATACAGACAACCATACATAACATTATAAAAAAGGAGAAGTACCTATAGCAAATTTAAAATTTATTGGAAGTTTTCTAACATATTCTCAACAAGCGTCAAAAAAGGCTATGAAGTTAAAGTACCTAAAATTCAATAACCTATTAGAATGCTTAAAATATTTTAATTTTTAAGGATACTGTGTACTAAAAACAATTAAATAGTGAAGAAGCTCACGTTGGATTTTTTCGTGTAATGTTATTTCTATTATGAGACCCTTATTTAAATGTACCAAACATGAGGCTGTCAATATATATATATATATATATATATATATATATATATATATATATATATATATATATATATATAAAAAATATATATATATATATATATATATATTTAAAATATCTATATATATTAAAACATATATATATTGAAACTTCAAAAATATATATAAAATATAAAATAAAAATAATAATAAAAATCACCACTTCCGCCTTACAAAAGCTTTTCTCCAATATTTCAAACTTAAAGTAATATTTGTATCAATTCCGATTAATTACATTTTAAATAACCAATTTTCCTTAAAT